GAGGAGACATTCCAATTTAGATAAACACAGCTGGTCTAATCCCACTTAATCAGTCCACTGAGGCTCTACTCTATCCTTCCCTTTCCCAACTTCATGCCCAAACTTTCTCTGCACAAATCAGAATCAGCTCAATATTTACTGTCAGAAGTTACAGAAGAATTTTAATGGCTTTAAAACTAGTAAATGGCTGTGTTGATTCTTCTTCTTTTTTCTGTCAGTTGTGGGTTTGAACTCAGGGCCTGGGTGCTGTTCTTGAGCTCTTTTGGCTCAAGGCTAAGGCTCTACCACTTTGAGCCATAGTGCCACTTCCAGTTTTCTGGTGTTTAATTGGAGATGAGTCTCACAGATTTTCCTGCTTGGGCTGGCTATGAATTGGGATCCTAAGATCTCAGCCTCCTGAGTAGCTAGGTTTATAGGCATGAGCCACTGGTGCCTGGCCAAGCAAAAAGAAATTTTTTGGGTCGGTTGTAGGGAGTGAACTCAGGGCCTGGGTATTGTCTCTGAGCTTCTTTTGCTCAAGGCTAGCACTCTACCACTTGAGACACAATGCCACTTGCAGCTTTTTCTGTTTATGTGGTAGTGAGGAATAGAACCCAGGGCTTCATGCTAGGCAAGCACTCTCCCACTAAGCCACATTCCTAGCCCCTTCAGTTATCTTTGATACCACATGGCAGAAGATCCATGTACACAGCTGGGGTAAATCTTACCTCTCCCTCAGCTCTGAGGCTCTAGGGATGACCTTTGGGTGGGGGCATACAACATGGCGGGGGGCTAGTGAGGGAGTATCATGTGGGAAATGGGCAGAAATGGACTCTGATACTCTTGGAAAAGGAGGGAGAAGTCGGGGAGGAGAGGAAAGGGGGGGAGAGGGATGTGGAAGAAAGAGAGGAGGAGGAAGAGAAGGAGAAAGAAGAGGAGGTAGTTTGACAAAGAAAGGCAAGAAGAATGTTGTAATCCCTCTGTAAAGTGAAACCTGAGAGATACAGGGCTGTGCTCAGCCTGGGTGAAGCCTGGCATTGGAAACCACTCCTGCTCCTTTTGAGCCCTCACCCAAGTCCCACTATGGTTTTCTAATTGTTTCATGGTAATAACTGGAAACACTCTGAGAGTTGGACCTTTTACAGGCTTGTCAGTACATGTCCCCCCCTCCCTACCCAAGGCTGGGAGCTGAAGAGGCTGCTACAAACACCTGTTGCCTGGGAGATGGAAGGTTAGACAAACAGAATCCAGTGGAGGGGCCAGTAGGGAAAGGCAGGTGAGGGGCTGGAGTTTGTAGAAGCAGGAGGGTGGAGCCTTGAGAAAGAGCAAGCAGGGATCAGGGAGGAGCTTTGTGGAGGAGCTGGACTAACTCAGGGGGTTAGGACTGGAGGTGATAGGAGGGGACCTAGGCAAAGGCTTTCTGAAGTCAAAGTGGAGACTCTCCCAGGGTGGGGGGGAAGAGGGAGAGAGGGAGAAGGACAGAGGGAGAGAGAGAGAGGGAGGGAGAGACAGAGAGGAGAGTGGAGAGAGAAAATGGGGCTTGAGCTCAGGATCTGGGAAGTCCCTGCGATTTTTTTTACCAAAGGCTAGCACTTTAACCACAGTTCCACTTCTGGCTCTTTGGTGGTTAATTAGAGATAAGAGCCTCACAGACTTTTCTGCCCAGTTGGCTTTGAACTGTGGGATCCTAAGATCTCAGCCTCCTGAGTAGCTAGATTATAGGTGTGAGCCACCAGTACCCAGCCTTCTCCCTGGGAATGGAAGCTAAACAGTGAAGGGATGAGATGTCTTGTGTGACAGTTCAAAGACAATGTCAAGGCCTAGGAGGTCAGGGGTGGGTAGGAATGAGAAGGTACAAGGGCATGTCTGGCCTCAGCTACCTTGTCTTGGCTCTTCATTAGACTCTGGACTCTGGGACCCGCATGCATCCTTTTTTTTGGGTGGGGGAGGGGGGTCCGGTCGTGGGGCCTGAACTCTGGGCCTGGGTGCTGTCCCTCAGCTCTTCAGCTCAAGGCTAGCGCTCTACCACTTGAGCCACAGCCCCACTTCCAGCTTATTTTTTTGCTTATGTGGTGCTGAGGACTCGAACCCAGGGCCTCAGGCATGCAAGGCAAGCGCTTTACCACTGAGCCACCTTCCCAGCCCCTCTTTTTTTTTTTTCTTGTGACTAAATCCCCAACCTGTTACCTGTATCACCTTATCACTTCCCTTGTCTTCTAGAGACCTCCTTTCCCAAAGGACCTTCAACAGTGGATGCAATTCCCTTTCTTGAGCATTTGTCCCCAAAAGAAAATCAGCTCTTTCAGCCAAGCCCTATACACACCATCTTCCTGTTTAGTGTAGGAAAGTGGGTCAGAACTCACATCTGTGAGAATACCCTGAAGCAGAAAACCAGGGTGAATCTGGAGAATTTCACTGTAGGTATGAATATATCTCATAGCCATGATGTGAGCTGGCCGCTGTGGGGAAGTCCAGGGCTGGGCTGTTCCAGGCATTCATAGCACGTCTCAGCATTAAAGTCTTTCCTCCTTAAGCCATCACACAGTCTCTTGTCTTCCCTGTTGGCAAAGCACCCAAATTTCTGGTAATGGGATCAGCTGCAGAAAGCCCTGCAAGGATGAGGCTCTGGGCCCAGCACTGCTGCCTAACCTAGAAGGGTAGACTCAAGGCTAGAATAAGTTTCTGAGACTGGAAAACACAACTCCTCAGACAGAGAAAAAGGCAACTCTCTCTGAATACATTTAGATGTTTGCTTGTATATGAACGGTCTCTTGTTCAAGGACAGTGCCCTAGAAATTCAATATCTGGCATTGTTGGTTTTCTTGGCTTTGTCCATAGTAAACCTGGTATTTCTGTTAAAACAGCATATGGTTTCTTTGGAAATTCATATTGATAATACTTGTAGTAAATGCTTTTCTCAGTAAGTGTTCTGCTTTTTTTTTTTTTTTTTTTGCCAGTCCTGGGGCTTGAACTCTGGGCCTGGGCACTGTCCCTGGGTTTCTTTTGCTCAAGGGTAGCACTCTACCACTTGAGCCACAGAGCCACTTCTGGCCTTTTCTGTTTATGTGGTAGTGAGGAATTTAACCCAGGGCTTCATGCATGCTAGGCAAGCACTCTACCACTAAGCTACATTCCCAGTCCCATGTTTTTTTTTTTTTTCTAGGAAAATAAAAAGAATGGGCTCTCTCTATGGCTACTCAAGAATAGAGTAGCAAGTGCTAGGGACTCACGTGTATAATCCTAGCTACTCAGAAGGATTTAAGATTTGAGGACTGGGGTTTGAAGCCAGGGCAGACAAATCTGTAAGACTTATATCCAATTAGCCAGCAAAAAGCCAGAGAAGTGTGTAGTTCAACTGGTACAACCCCAGATGTTAGGGGGGAAAAAAGCCAACAGTGTGAAAGGTCCTGAGTTTTAGCCGAAGTACTGCCACCAAAAAACAAAAACAAAAAAACAAAAGAAAAAAGAAAGAAGAGGAGGCAGAGGAGGAGGAGGAAGAGAAGGTAGCACTGGCTGTTTTTGGAGATTAGGCATATTTCTACTTTTTGGATTCTAGGCTATGTAATTGTCACCTCTGAGAAACATAAAAATCTTATTTCCATATTTTTCTGAGCTTCTTTAGGGATCAATAGTCCAGGTATCAGCCAAACCCCTTGATTTGCTCCAGCTAGAATGGGCTATCTCACAGCCAGCTCCTCAGTGTCCCACTGGGGCTACCTCAGGCAAAGTGGCTTCTCAGAGCTGCTCAAGCACATTCTTTCTCTGTACTACTACTGGCCTCATGGTCCCCCATGCCAAGAATACTGCATCGTTCTTTCTTTTTTATTTATTGTGAAAATACTGTACAGAAGGGTTACAATTACATGGGCAAGGTAATGAGTGCATTTCTTATCAAGCATTGTTGCCTCCTCCTTCGTTTCCCCTTCCCATCTCTCCCCCCCCCAGTGCAACCCCCCCAACTGCAGCATTCTTGTGATGGCTCAGGCCCCCAGACTATGGACACTGCCTCCTGGAAACTTTCCCTGACCCATACCCCCACTGCTGTCACATCGGCAACACTGAATCTGGGCCAGCCTCTTGTGGTTCCTTTGATGCCCACTGCTCCTCCCTCTGCCTGTACCTCAGTGCAAGTCTGATCAAGCCAGTTTTCCGTTTGAATCTTCTTGTAATTGTCATTGTTAGGGTCTGTCCAGATCCTCCAGGAACCTTCCCCACCTCATTTTGTGCTGGGTACCCCCTTCACTGTGCTTGTGCCAAAGGTACCTGTCACTTTTAAAGAACTGCTAGGTCTCCTGGAGCCCCTTGGCTCTGGAGGACAGTGAAGTTTGTCATTAAGTAGGCAAAATGACCCTAAAGGGCTTGTGTAATTCGATGTGAAGAAGCATTTCAGGGATATTATCCCAAGAGGTAGGATGAGAGTATGCCAGTGGCAGTAGCTGGTCCTCTATCCCTTACCTGGAATTGGTTAGTACCATCTCCAATTCTGGGAAAGCATTGACATACCAAGGCATCTGTCCATGTTGGATTGGACCTCCCAGAGATCAGCCCAGCTAGAAGTCAGCAGTCATCTCAAAGAGATGGTAGAATGAGAGGGTGAAAACGGTGTGCGACTGGGAGCCTCTGGTTGAAAAGGGATCCCACTCTCTAGCTGGAGCCTGGGAAACAGGCAGGTAGAGCAGGATCAGGACTGGAGGAAAGGGGCCTTATTCTAGGGACAGAGAGTCCTTTGAGAACTTAAACATTCATATATCTGTGTCTTTCTGAGTATAGAATCAGCACTTACAAACATACTGAATCAGGAAACTAGACTTTTATTAGTCTATATTTTTCAATATTGAGACAAAAGGTAAAATGTATGGACAAGGAAAAGCAAGATACAAAGGACTTACAAGGACTCCCAGATTCACCAAGGATGCCCAGCAGAGACATTCTCTTTTAGAAAAGGCTAAGACAAGTTTGTGATGTTAGATCGGGAGGGTTAGAACTTGCTGGTGTAGAGGGTAATAATCCACTTGGGTGTGCGGAGAAAGCCAGGCAAGTAGGAGGCCAACCATCCCAGGTTGGTGACTTGTGAGAGAACAGAGCTCAAAGAAAGATAGTCTTGGACAGGGCGTCCTGGGAACAACAGAAGGACAAATTAGACGTCTGCCTACCACTCCCAACCCTGATAGACTAGATTGAGGAAAAGGAGTGAGCAGGGAATAGAAGGAATGGCAGTCAAGGATGGCTGCTGGAACACAGCTCTTACCATCCACATCCTGAAGGCCATAGCGCCGAGCAAGGTCACAGGATGGCAGCACTTTCCCACTCAAGCTCAGGATATTAGGGTCTGTGGGCACATACATGGTTAGAAATAGTGATCATGGGAGTGGTGCAGAGGGACAAGATTTGGGCCGAACAGGACAAGAATATCACTGACCACTCAGGAACATTGTTTCTCTTGTTTCTATGAAGGCCTTTGGCTACACCTCCCAGAGCCAGTGCTTAAGACTCATAACCCACAAACCAGGAGTACTGATTCATGGAGCTTCAAATGACAGAGAAAAGCTAGGTATATTCCTTAGTCACCACTTGAACCAAAACCCGGTCTGCTCTGCAGATCCTTCATACCCTTTCTGGCTGCTCCAAATTCTTTACCTGTTGCCAAAGCCACCACGCATTTGCCACTCATTTCTGTGGATTCCGCTGTTGAGAAATGTGGTAGGTACTGAAAAACAGGTTGAGAAGTACAGAGTTAATTTATTTCTTCTTTTTCTCACCCTTCTTCCCTCCCTCCCTCTCTCAGCCTGAGCATTATCCCTGAGCTTTTTTGCTCATCCCCAGGTCTCAGCCTCCTGAGTTATAGGCATGGGCCTCTGGCACCTGGATCAGAGCATTCTCCAAATCTTCCTCCCTTTCATCTTCAGTTCTAGGAGAGAGGCCACAGACACATGCAGGACCTGTAAGATCCAGTGTCTTAGGAGGCACCAGAGCTGCTACTCCCAACACGCAGGCAAGCATGATGCCCCCGCACCAGTATCTTTTGTCATTCCTAAGAGGAAGGATTCCAGCACTGATGAGGGTCTGGATCTTCCAGGCTTCTTCAGAGCAGGGGTCAAGTGCCTGGGCTTCAGTGCTAAACAGCCTTTCCACTCCAGACATATATGATCTAGACAAACTTCTTTTTTCTTTCTGCCCTGTGCTGGGGATTGAACCCAGGGACCATTCATGCTAAGCACACATACTCTATCCCCAGCCCTGGACCAAGTTTCTTAATCTCTCTGTGGTTCATTTTCACTACCTGCAAAAAGAAGGTAGCATCTCTCTTACAAGACTGATAACACAACACAATGCTCAGTCCTCTGTCTGCTCTGGGAAGCCCTGATATGTGGGAATGTTACTTTTTTTTTTTTTTTTTTGCCAGTCCTGGGGCTTGAATTCAGAGCCTGGGCACTGTCCCTGAGCTTCTTCTGCTCAAGGCTGACACTCTACCACTTGAGCCACAGTGCCACTTCGGGCATTTTCTGTTTATATGGTACTGAGGAATCAAACCCAGGTCTTCATGAATACTAGGCAGGTACTCTACCACTAAACTACATTCCCAGCCCCTTTGCCAACCTTTTTAAACTTAGGATCATCAAGGCTCTCACACTTTGTCATATAATCTTTCAGCAGTTCTGTCTGCACCATCCCTGGCCACAGAGATACATAGCTGACTCCATGGTGCTGCAGCTCATGGGCACAGTCAGCAGCCAGTCTGTCACACTGTAGAGGGATAGAAGGCAGAATGAGAGCCAGGGCACCTGGCATGTCACCTTCCTTTTCTGTCTCCCTTTGCATCTAACAAGTATGCTCCAAGGCCCTTCCCTCCCTCCCTCCCTCCCTCCTTTCCTTCCTTCCTTCCTTCTTCCTTTCTTTTTCTTTCTTTCTTTCATTCTTTCTTTCTCTTTCTTCCTGTCTTTCTCTTTCTTTCTCCTCCTTTCTTTTCTTTTCTTTTTTTTATTTTTGCTGGTTCTGGGGCTTGACTCAGGGCCTGGGTGCTGTCCTTGATCTTTTGTGCTCAAGGCTAGTGTTCTACCACTTGACCACTTGAGCCATGGCTCCACTTCAGGCTTTTTTTTGGTAGTTAATTGGAAATAAGAGTTTTATAGACTTTCCTGTCTGGGTTAGCTTCGAACTGAGATCCTCACATCTCAGCCTCCTGAATAGCTAAGCTTACTTACTGGTGAGCCACCAGTGCTAAGCTAGCCTCTGCCCTTCTCAGGAGCCTTAAGGAATAGGAGTCCTAGTAGGAATACTAATCACTTCCTCAATTTGATGCCTTTACTGGTAGAAGGAAGGAGGAGAGGGTAAAGCAGAGAAAGTCTCCCTCAGATTGGGACAGATGGAGAGGTAAGGGCCTAGCTAGCCTCACCATCCTGGCCACTAGGGACTGTACCTTCTAGCTGTAAGTAGCATCAGTGTCTTATATCTTCTAAACCCCTGGCACTGGTCCTTACCGCAGCTTTGCCCACACCATAGGCAACATTGAACGTATACTGAAGTCCACCAGGGGAGGAGATGACCACAATGAGCCCCCGGCCAGCAGGTACCATCAGCCGTGCCCCATACACAGAACACAAGTAGTGGCCTCTGGAAGGTGGGCAAGGAAGGAGAAGGAGAAGGAACAAATTGTTAATGCTGACCTGCATGCTGTAGCCCCTAGCAGCTACTTAGGCCTTCAGTGGCTACAGCTGTCAGGAGAAGGCCATACAGGGGCAGCTGCAGACCCGAGGAATCAGTCTGGGAACCAGATGAGAAAGGATGATCTTTATATGAAGTGAGGGGAAAAATGTTTTGTCATAATTGCAATTACTAACATAAATTAGAGCTGGGCACCAGTGGCTCATGCCTGTAATCCTAGCTACTCAGGAGGCTGAGATTGGAGAATTGCAGTATGAAGCCATCCCAGGGAGGAAAGTCCCTGAATCTCTAAACAACAACAACAACATAAAGAGCTAGAAGTAGAGCTGTGGCTCAGGTAGTAGCGTGCCAACCTTGAGCAAAAAAGCTCAAGGGTTGGGGTGTGTGTATATGTGTATGTGTGTGTGTGTGTGTGTGTGTGTGTGTGTGTGTGACATTGTCCAAAAAGAAATGTACTGTTTACCTGACTTATATAACTGTAACCCCTCTGTACATCACCTTTAGAATAACAATATAAAAATTAATTAAAGAGAAAAAGCCAGGCGCCAGTGGCTCAGCAGAGGCTGCAATCTGAGGATCATGGTTCAAAGCCAGTCCACGCATGAAAGTCTGTGAGACGTTTTTTTTGGTCTTTTTTTCATCGGTTGTGGGGCCTGAACTCTGGGCCTGAGCACTGTCTCTCAGCTCTTCAGCTCAAGGCTAGCGCTCTACCACTTGAGAGTCAGCCCCACTTCCAGCTTTTTCTGCTTATGTGGTGCTGAGGAATTGAACCTAGGACCTCATGCATGCAAGGCAAGCAATTTACCACTGAGCCACCTTCCCAGCCCCAGTCTGTGAGACTTTTATGTCCAATAAACTACTTGGAAAAAGCCAGAAGTGGTGCTTTGGCTCAAGTGATAGAGTGCTAGCCTTGAGCACAAAGAGGCTCAGAGACAGTGCCTAGGCCTGAGTTCAAGCCTTAGAACCAGCAAAAAAACAAACAAAAACAAAAAAATCCACCCACATAAATTAATTCTAAGGACCAAAAAAACCTAATAAATGAAGAAGGTCTATATGGAAAAATAAACTAAAACTATGAAAGAACTATAGACAATTCTTTTTTTCAGTTGTGGGACTTGAACTCTGGGCCTGGGCGCTGTCTTCAACTCTTCAGCTCAAGGCAAGCATTCTACCACTTGAGCCACAGCACCACTTCCAGTTTTCTGGTGATTTATTGGAGATAAAGAGTCTCACAGACTTTTCCTGCCTGGGCTGGCTTTGAACTGCAATCCTAAGATCTCAGCATCCTGAGTAGCTAGGATTACAGGCATGAGCCACCGGTGCCCGGCAATATAGACAAAATTTTACAGAAGAACATGAAAAATATTTACTTGATATAAATTAATATATTTGCTCATAAGACTAGCACTCTACCTCTTGAGCCACAGCACCACTTCCAGTTTTCTGAGTGGTTTATTGGAGATAAGAGTCTCATGGACTTTCCTCCCTCGGCTGGCTCCTCAGATCTCAGTCTCCAGAGTAGCTAGGATTACAGGCATGAGCCACCCGTGCCCGGCCTAAAGATGATTCTTTAAAATGTGCAGTGGAGGGGCTGGGAAGGTGGCTCAGTGGTAGAGCGCTTGCCTTGCATGCATAAGGCCCTGGGTTCGATTCCTCAGCACCACATAAACAAAAAGAAAAAAGCCGGAAATGGTGCTGTGGCTCAAGTGGTAGAGTGCTAGCCTTGAGCTGAAGAGCTGAGGGACAGCGCCCAGGCCCAGAGTTCAGGCCCCACGACTGGACCACCCCCCAAAAAAATAAAAAGTGCAGTGGACAGGTAAGCCAATAAAACAAAATAGTCAACAATTAGATCCAAATGCAAGTGGGAATAAATGCAAGAACATTTATTAGAAGGCTTATTTCAAGTCAGTGGAGAAAGATGCATCATTCAGTAAATGGACAACTGAACAGATACTTGGGTTGGAGAGGACTGAGCCACTGCCTCATGTATTATTCAAAAATAAATTCTAAAAAGGATTCAGTATTTAAACCAAAAAATAAATGCACAGAAGTACTAAATACATTATCACATGTGTTTATTATCTTTTTATGCCAGTACTGAGGCTTGAACGCAGGCCCTAGGCACTGGCTCTTGGCTTTTTTGCTCCAGGCTAGTGGTCTACCACTTGGACCACAGCTCCACTTCTGGCTTTTTGGTGGTTAAAAGTTAAAAGAGTCTCACAGACTTTCCTGTCTGAGATGGCTTTGAACCACAATTCTCAGATCTCAGCCTGCTGAATAGCTAAGATTATAGGCATAGCCACCGGTGCCCGGCTCAAATGTGTGTATAACTTGATGTGGGAAAGGCTTTTCTGAGCATTGTACCAAGACAGAAATTAGAAAACATGACTGACAGACTTGTTTCTTAAAAATAGGACATACAGTCACAGTATCAGCTCCCGAGCCTGTGCTGCGGCCCCGGCCGGTCAGTGTATGAACCTTCTCAATAAAGTTGCTTCTTTAATATAAAAAAAATAAGACATACACATGTACAAACACATACAAATGCTAACACACATATTTCTGTATAAGTATAGAGTACAGGAAAGAATAAACCTGAAAAAAAAGAATAATCAGATGGCATAGTATTATACACCAGTAATTCCAGTTCTTGTGAAGCTGAGGCAAGAGGACATGATTTTGAGTTTCCTAAATACTAAGACTACAGATGTACACCAGTATGCCTGGCAATATTTTACTAGTTTTTACATTTTTTAAATTTTTTGCCAGTCCTGGGGCTGGAACTCAGGGCCTGGGCACTGTCCCTGAACCTCTTTTGCTCAAGTCTGGCCCTCTACCACTTGAGCCACAGCACTACTTCCAGCTTTTTCTGTGGATTTGGTACTAAGGAATTGTGTGCATGCTAGGCAAGCACTCTACCCCTCAGCTCACCTTTACATTTTTTTCCCACAATCTTTTTCAGTAATATACATATACTTGTTAACTAGAAAAAAATTTCTTTTGCATGGTGATTGGATAAACTCCTTTGAATGAAAACTGGCAGCATTATAGTTTTAAGGGGGAAAGCCCTGCCCCAGGTAATACAGAGGAAAGCAATACATTTATATGAGAGGAGGAAAGGAAGGGAAAGTGCTAGTGAGCTGCTATAAAGGCTAAAACAAAATCATTCATCATGGATCAAGGTGGGGAGCTTAGGGTCTGGCTCTCTACCATGACTCCCTCCCTGTTCAAGTGTATAGCCCTGACCAGCAAGAGATGAAGTTGTAGAAGGCATGCCTTGGAGGCCATGAGCACTGGCCTGCTCACTGGGCCTGGCTGGCACAGGAGGCAAGCTACCACTTGAGGCACACTTTTAGAATGTTTTTTTGCTGGTTATTTTGGAGATGATAGAATCTTGTGAATTTTTCTTCCTGGACTAACTTCAAATTGACATCCTCCAGATTTCAGCCTCCCAAGTAGCTAGGATAATAGTCATGAGTCATCAGCATCCTGGCTCACAACTGCATTCTAATCTTGCTTTCTTGAGATGCCAACAGAGTACCAAAATTGGCCCAGTGGGTGTTCTTAGATGCTGTAGTCCTAGATTTCTAGATCATCTCACAGGAGACAGATTACCTCTACCAAATGCATTTTTAAGTTTTTTATTGTAAAAATACTGTATAGAGGGGCTATATTTACACAAGCAAGGTAATGAGTACATTTCCTATCAAGCATTGTTGCCTCCTTTGTTTTCCCCCTACCATCCCTTCCCTCCCACTATCAATTGTAATTTAATTACTGGAGAGAGTAACATCATTCCAATAGTAACCAAAAGTTATAACTATGCAGACTACACTGGGTAAATTCTAAATGTGTTTACTTTACACCTGTGCCAGATGTATGTGTAACCCCAAAACAGTTTCATTGGGCACCAGTAGCTCATGCCTGTAATCTTAGCTACTCAGGAGGCTGAGATCTGAGGAGCCAGCTGAGGGAGGAAAGTCCATGAGACTCATCTCCAATTAGCTCAATTACTTGAGCTATGGCTCAAGTAGAGCTGCCAGTCTTGAGTGAAAAAGGTAAGTGACAGTGCTCAGCCCCTGAGTTGAAACCCCAGTACTGGCACACATTTACACACAAAGATCCCTATGTCCCAACTCTGCACTGGAAACGCACTTGCCTGTAGGTCTGGAAGGAGGACATATTGTTATTGTTACATAAACAAAAGAATTCATCCCTCCAATCATTGTGCTAGTTCAGGGGCTTGAACTCAGTGCTTGGACACTATCCCTGAGCTTTTTTGCTTAACGGTAGCTCTTTACCACTTGAGATACACCTCCACTCCAGCTTTCTTTTTCTTTTTGGTACTTAATTGGAGATAAGAGTCTCACAAACTTTCCTACCCAGGCTGGCTTCAAACCACAATCCTCAGAGTAGCTAGAATTGCAGATGTGAGCCACCAGCACCCACCCCCTCCAATCAGTTTTACAAGCACAGACTATAGACTGTTGACACTGCTGAGTTTCCAGGAAAGTTCCCTTCGGGTCTTGAGACAGAGGAAAGGCCAGAGGCTTTCTCAGATAAAAATGACCAATAGAAATAGATCAAAAGTTGACATGCTAGGTGCTGGTGGCTCACGTCTATAATTCTAGCTACTCAGGAGGCTGAGATCTGAGGATCACGGTTCAAAGCCAGCCTGGGGCAAGAAAGTTGTGAAATCTTATATCCAATAAACTACCAGAAAGCTGGAAGTGGCGCTGTGGCTCAAGTGATAGAGTGCTCGCCTTGAGCTGAAGAGCTCAGGGGCAGCAGCCAGGCTCAGAGTTCAAGCCCCACAACCGACCAAAAAAAAAACATGAAAAAGTTGACATTCACAAGTACAGATTCACCTATATGGTACTTCTCCAGATATAAATAGACAAATCAACAGAAAGGAGAAAGAAAGACAGAGATTAGGAAAGCCTGAGGAAAAAAGATAAGGCTCTGGCTTTGCTCTCTGAGCAAGGGGAGCCCAGGTTTTACAGAGTCAAAGGGAATACTCACCTGAGTCCAGCGTTGTTTATGTCATCCCAAATGGTGGCAGGGGCTTCCCAGAAGGACTTACTGTTGTTTAGGATGGTCTAGAAGGCACAGGGAGGGTGACTGATTAGATGATCTGAGGGCAGGAGAGTGTAAAGGAATGACTAATGGAGGAGACAACAAATGGGGATCAGTACTAACAGGTCTCAGAAGGAGGGAAGGAATGTGGGGTTGGATCAAACTCAAAGGCTACCTGGACCCCAGCAAAGGCATTGTTGACCAGCACATCCAGCCGCCCATTCTGTTCCTGATCCACTTGTTCAAAAAGGCTTTTGACTTCACTTTCCTTGCTTGAATCACACACCACAGGCACACAACGGCCACCACGGGACTGTGCCTGGAGAGGAACAGGGGACATGAACGCAGAGTTGTGCACTAGTGTGAGATATAACATAATTTCCTAACTAAATGGGCTTGGGAACTGAGAACGTGATAGGGAAAGCAAAGCTGAGTTAATATAGCAAGGCAATACTGCCCTCTAGTGTATTTTTTTAGGAGTTTCAGGAATACAGCAAGGAGGACTGGGATGTCAAGATTCAAAATCACAGGCATTTACTAAGGCCTATCAAGTGCAAGGCACTGTGCTCTGAAAGCTAAAATGCATGGAGCCTACTTTTAGAAACAAATGACACTTGTCCTTGGTCCTTTCTGTCATATCTTTAAGCTCCTATCTACTTTATCACTCACCTAGAACCCTTACTAGTCCCATTCCTCTTTCCCTCACTCTACTAATGCTCTTGATGGCTACTAAAAACCCAGAATTAGCTGGGCACTGGTGGCTCATGCCTGTAATCCTATACTTAGGAGGCTGAAAAATGAAAATCTCGGTTCTAAGCCAGCCCAGGCAGAAAAGTCTCTGTGGGATTCTTATTTCCAAAAACCAGAAGTAATACTATAGCTCAAAGTAGTAGTGTGCTAGCCTTGAGCAAGAGCTTAGGGACACCACCCAGACTGTGAGTTCAAGCCTCACAACCGACAACAAATAAAATAAATACCACATATTAAAAAATAAAAATAAAAGCTGGGCTCTGGTGGCTCACTCCTGTAATCCTAGCTACTCAAGAGGTTGAGATTTGAGAATTACAGTTCAAAGCCAGCCGGGGCCGGAAAGTCTGTGGGACTCATCTCCAATTAACCACCAGAAAACCAGAAATGGAGCTGTGGTTCAAGTAGTAGGGCACTCACCTTGAGCCGAATTGCTCAGGGACAGTGCCCAGGCCCAGAGTTCAAGCCCCACGACTGACAAAATAAAGAAATAAAGAAAAACAAAACCCCAGAATTATCAGGTATAAACATTCCTACTTTCTGTTCTGCTTCACCTGCTACAAATGTGTCCACATCCTCCAACATCCAAGGTAGAAGAGTACCTTATTTAAGAACTGTTCTCCAGGTGCATGCTCTGAACCACTCTATTAACCCCTTGCTTCAATTATTGGGATGCCTCCTAAATGCTCACTTGACCTCCAATCTTTTTTGCCTTAAGTTAGTTCTCCATAATCCAGTCAGTATGAACTATCTAAAACAAAAATGTGGCCAGCTAGTTACTCATGAGGTGGAGGTCTGAGTATTGGGGTTTGAAGTAAGCCTGGGGAGAAACGATTATGAGAGTCTTTTTTGGGGGGGTCGGTCATGGGGCCTGAACTCTGGGCCTGGGCGCTGTCCCTCAGCTTTTCAGCTCAAGGCTAGTGCTCTACCACTTGAGCCACAGCGCCACTTCCGGCTTTTTCTATTTATGTGGTGCTGAGGAACTGAACCCAGGGCCTCATACTTGCAAGGCAAGCAACTCTACCACTGAGTCACCTTCCCAGCCCCCACGACTAAGAGACTCTTATCTCCAATTAACCAGCAAAAATTGGCTTAAGTGATAGAGCATCAGCCTGAGGAGGGGGAAAGCTAAGGGACAGTGCCCACACCTTGAGTACAAGCCCTAGTACTAGCACCAAAACAAAACAAAAACCAGACAACAACAACAACAAAACCCACAAAAAATCCATAAAAACACAAATAGGCTACATTCATTATCAGGATGTTTGTGTTTTCAGTGCTAGAGATTAAACCTAGAGCCTTGCATTTTGCCAAGCAAACATTCCACAACAAAGCTAACCCTCAGCCTCTGACTCATTCCTCCTCTGGCCTCTCACCATCTACTCTTCCCCTACCTTACCTCACAATGACCGACTCTTTCACTATTTGCTCACGTAACTTAGAATGAGTTGCCTAACTTTATCTAATTTTTATCTTTCAAGACTTGCTTCAAGGCGTACCTATCACCTAGATGCCCTATCATCCCATGCTCCTTGAACCTTTTGTTAATATCTTCCCTCTTATCATATTTACATTGAAATGGCCGTGTCCTATTGGACTCTATCTTTTAAGAGCAAAAATTGTATTTTATTATTCTTGGAAACCACAGTGGTTTGCCCAGTGCCTAGCAATTCATAGATACTCAAGTTTTTATTTATTTTACTAAACTCCAGTAGAAAGGGAAAATGTATAATTTAATAAAGTCTTGCTTAAAATAGAGGAAGGCACAGGTCCAAAAGATTAGCTGTATATTTTAAGCCCTCAAGTGAAAGTTTTTTTTTCCCATAAAATGTACTTAGCAAATCTCAGTCCAATCTAAATTTATTCATGGTTTATTTATGTTATTCTTAGTAAATTTTCAAGTCATGTTGTGTCAGGTAAGGGATTTGGAAAGACTTCTTCAGGTGGTCAGTTACTCACTTCCTGAGCTGTAGCCTTAAGTGTCTCCAGATGGCGGCCAGTAATATAGACTGTAGCACCTGCTTGGCAGAGTTGCAAGGCAATCCCACGGCCAATACCCCTGGAGGCACCAGTCACCACACACACTTGGCCCTTCATGGGAACATCCATAACTCAAGGAAAGGACACCTGTGGAGATAAAGAGACGCTTTTAGAGGAACAATGCCTATGTGCATCTGATCATACAAAATAATATTTGTTGAAATAAGCTCTGGGAAATGGAAACGAGGGTTTTTCTTTTCTTTTTGTCCTGTTTGCTTATATGGAGGGGCAAAGGGTAAACAAATGCAGCAGCAATGGTACTCACTGGACACTATGTTGAAAATGAACGCTACACCTTGTGGTGGGGACAGGAGGGAAAAACTGGGAGAGAGCAAGAGAAAAAGTGATTGTCCAGGAAGAAATGTACTCTTTACCTGCCTTATGTAACTGTAACCCCTCTGCACATAACCTTTATAATAAGAATAATAAATTTAAAAATTAAAATTGTTCAAGACAGAGAGAGAGAGAGAGAGAGGGGGGGGAGACGCTGACTGTGTGTGGAGTCCCCGCTAGGGACAGAAGGGGGAGCCCCATGAGGTTGGATCCTTGGAGGGGAGAGGTTCAGAGGAGCACAACTGAGTGTGAGCCTCGGGCCAGGATGGCCTACAGAGTGAAAAGAGCGCGGCGAGCAGCTCTTCGGGAGGCACTGCGACCCTCCGTATGGGGCTAACTAGGTGCAGGAATTTGGAGAAGCAGCCCTTTAGGGCGCCATCTTCGTAGAGCCCTGAGTTCTCCAGAGCTCTGGCCACTGACCTGGCCCCAGTATGGCCAAGCCGGAGAGGGCTCCTGAGCCTTCAGTGAGACAACATGTGAGTCCATCCTGTTTCTGGGGTTCCTTCAAAAGGGGTCCTCGCTCTGTCGAACTCACCAGACTTGAAACTGGAGAACTTTATTCTGGCCACGGGCGGGACCCCCCCGTCCAGGTCAGAGTGCAGTCCTAAGGTGAGTGATCGTGTCTGCAGAGGGGAAGCGAGGAAACAGTACCTGAAGTTCACAGCGATTCCCGGAGGGGACTAAGTGGGCAGGGCCCAGGACTCGGCGTCCAACCCACGTGTCTGTGGGCGGGCCACCCGGAGGCCACACCCACCGCGCCGCGGGTGAAGGTCGTCGCAGAACCCTGACGTCACGCGGAGCGCGCCGGGCGTTTCGGAAGTCCGTCAGGACCCGGCTCGCGTTGGGCGGCGTGAGAACCGCTTATTCCACAGCACACATGGGGTTGGGGCCACGCTCTCCTCCCCACTCGGGGCGCCGCTTCCCTGCTGGCAGCAAACGAGGACGCGGAGCCCCGGGGTCGGGGCGCCCTCCGCCGGGCCGCGGGCGGCACTCCCGCGCGCCTGCGGACCGGCAGTCAGAGCCGACTCCGGAGGCCCTTCCGCATCTGAGCCCCGAAGCTCTGGGATATTTCCGACGGGCGCTGTCCACGCTGAAAGACGCCCCGGAGGCCGGGGAAGAGCGAGGTTAGGGGGGGGGTTCCAGCCAGCAGCATAAAATCCAGGACCCGCCAAGAAGGGGACCCTCTTGGGTCCCTGGGGCGTGAGGACTCGAGTTTTATGTCTCATGCTCTCTTCCTCGGTCTTTGCCCTTCGTCCCGAATTTCAACAATGAAACATAGTTGTCCTCTTTCCCGTTTGTTTTAAATAGTTCACTTTTTTTTTCGCGTTTCTAGAGCTGATGGTGCACAATATTTTGAAAGAAGTGGAGGCTCAAGCCCTGGCCTTGGCCACGAACAGGACTGGCAGTGAGATGTTGCAAGAACTGTTGGGATTCAGTCCTTTGAAGCCACTGTGTCGAATATGGGCGGCTCTGCGCTCCAACTTGCGTATTGTGGCCTGTCATCGGTGCGGGGTCCATGTGTTGCAAAGTGCTTTGCTGCAGCTGCCTCGGTTGCTGGAGAGGCCCGCCAAGCAGGAGGAAGAGGAGGAGGAGGAAGAGGAGCAGGGGAAGGATGGTGTCTTGGAAAGCTTGGAGGAGTTGGTCCTGGGACTAGCTTCCGAGGTATCTGATGATTTTCTTTTCTACTGTGGAGACACTCATGGCAGCTTCGTGGTCAGAACTCTCCTACAGGTCTTAGGCGGGACTCTTCTGGAATCTGAGAGAACCAGGCACCGAGGTTCCCAATCATCTAGTAAGTATATTATAAGAAAGGGAAGTGGACTTGGTAGGAAAGGACTTGGTAGTTCTAAAGAAGAGAATAAGCAGATTAAGTCTTCTTGGAGGAGCTTGGTCTTGAATTAGCAGAGGAATTATGGCAGAGTTGAGACCAGTGATGAGTGTATGCATAGAGTGTATGCACACTATGCGTTTAGGGGACAGCTGTTAATATAGCAGGAGAAGGAAGAAGGGGAGATGCTTCATTACAGCAATATATTTCAGACTGTGTGTGCTGAGACTGGGGCTTGAACTCACTGCCTGAAATCAGGCTTCAACCCTCTGCTCTCTCTTGGTTTTCTTGCTCACAAAGCTGATGCTTGAACCTTGGAAACTGACTCCATCCTTGTATTTTGCTGATTATTTTGGAGATGAATTCTAGTCAACTTTTCTACCTAAGCTGGCTTCAAACCACGCCCCTTCAGGTGTCAGCCTCCTGAGTAGCTAAGGTTACAATCATGAGCCACTAGTACCTAATTTTTTTTCTAATACCATAACCACAGTAAAAAAAAATCGTTTTAAAATATGACTCAAGAGCTGGAGGCATGATTTAAGTGATAGCCAACTTGCCTACTAAGTATGAGGCCTTGAGATAGTGATCTCACTCTTCAGTAATAGAAAACAAAAAACACAACCTTGACTTAGTGTGTGTCTATATACACATACTGAACTCAGGCAAAATTCAGGAGGCAACACCCTTACTGTGTGCAACCCACTCTGATTATTTTATTTTTAAAATTTTAGTCTGTTCTAGTTTAAGAATTCTGATTAAAATCATTAACTTGATTATATCATACAGTCACAACCTATGATCTACATCATCATATTAGTTTATTTACTTATGCATTCATTTAGGGCAATACTGGAGTTTGAACTCAGTCTCATGCTTACTAGCTTACATGCAGCTTGACCACTTGAGCCATGCCTCTAGTCTTGTTCTTTGCTAGTTATTTTGGAGATGGAGTCTACTTTTCTGTCTATGGCTGTCCTTGAACTTAGAACCTCTAAATCTTGGCCTCTTGAGTAGCTAGGATTGCAAGTGTGAGCCACTTGAGTCTAGTGTGTGACCTTCATTTCGAGAAACTTTTGAAAATAAGGTTAGAGTTTATTTGGTGTTAGTAAGGGTTGAACTCAGGGCCTTGTTCTTGCTAGGCATTACTCTACAGCGTGAGCCATACCTTAAGCCCTTTTTGCTATAGCTTATTTTTCAGAGTTTCAAGGTTTTCTTTTTTTCTTTTCTTTTTTTGTTGGTTGTGAAGCCTGAACTCTGGACCAGGTGCTGTCCCTCAGCTCCTCAGCTCAAGGCTAGTGCTCTACCACTTGAGCCACAGCACCGCTTCTGGCTTTTTCTGCTTTTGTGATGCTGAGGAGTCGGACCCAGGGCCTCATACATGTGTGACAAGCACTCCACTACTGGGCCACCTTCCTAGCCCCATGGTTTTCTCTTGTTTTAGTTTGGCTTGAATTTTCCTTGGGCTTGCTTCTGACCCACTCCTGAGTATCAGGGGTTACAGAAGTTCAACATTGTACTCTACCTGAGATGTTTAAATGAGATCTGATTTTGGACTACTCTTAACATACCTGGTTGAGGAGTTTGAGTTAAATTTTGTGGACCCCGGGGGAGCTGGTTAAAGTTTCTTAGAAAAGTTGAAACAGAAACATTATCTCAGGTCAGCCATCTTGAGATAACAGGAGTTTGGCATCTCCAAGCTGAGCCCTCATCCTCCTGTGGTGTTCTCCTTCCTGGATAGCAGTTTGTGATCTCATCACTGCAAATATGCTTGATCTTCTTTCAGAAGCACACAGGACCTCAGCTCGGGAATGTAAGCCTGCTGATTTTGAAGTCCCAGAAACCTTCTTGAATTGCCTTCAGGACCTGAGCTCTTGCTTTCTGAAAGACATTGCTGGTAAGGAGGGAAGTAAGAAGATGGTCTTGGAAATACTTTGCTGGAGATTGCTGCCAAGCAAGGCCCTTAAGGTCATTCCTCTTCTTCAAACTTGTGGTTTGTTCTTGCAAAGCATTTTTGGGGACATTTTGTATCCATGTAGATACAAAATTATTTCTGCCTTCTCCCTACAGTGTTTATCACTGACAAGATCTCTAGCTTCTGCCTTCAAGTGGCCTTACATGTCTTACACCGCAAACTGCCCCAGTTTTGTGCCCATCTCTGCAGTGCTGTGATTGGCTATCTGGGTACTCGCAGTTCCTCAGCAGACAGAAGGTATGGCTTAACTTTGGGATTGACTAGCTGTGTAAAATGAGTCAGGTATAGGGTGTAACTGTTTTACATGAAGTAGAGTTAAAACTTCTTGATTCCTTTTTTATTTTCAGCCCTCTACTGATGTTTCTTCAGGATCAGACAAGCTCCAGACTCCTAGAACAGGTGCTGTTGGTGTTAGAGCCCCCAAAGCTCCAGAGTCTCTTTGAAGATCACTTCCAGGGTCAGCTGCTGACCTTGGCTGCACATCCCATTGCTAACTTCCCTTTGCAACGCTTATTGGATGCAGTTACTTCTCCTGAGCTGGTGAGTTAAAAGTCTGGTGGAGTCTCTACTCTTCTGTTCATTGGGTCCTACTTAGTATGTGCCTATGTATGTCTAACAGTGTGTTGCTCATTGCCCTTGCCTTATAAAGTTGTACCTTAAGGTTTCCCAGAGTATAAGATAAAAATGCCCTACTGCCAGAGATGTGACTACCGGTAATAGACTGGCTTTTTTTGGTGGTACTGGGTTTGAACATGCTTGATAGGTAGGTTCTCATTGTTTGAGCCATGTTCCTAGTGTTTTTGTTTGTTTTGCTTTAGTAGTTTTCAGATAGGGTCTAGTGCTTTATTTATTTATTTGCCAGTCCTGGGGCTTGAACTCAGGGCTTGGGCTCTGTCCCTGAGCCTGTCTGTGCTCAAGGCTAGTGCTCTTCCACTTCTAGTTTTTTTTGAGTAGTTTATTGGAGATAAGAGTCTCATAGACTTTCCTGCCTGGGCTGGCTTCGAACTATGATCCTCAGATCTTAGCCTCCTGAGTAGGATTACTGGTATGAGCCACCACAATGTCCAGGTAAGTGTCTGGTGCTTACTTTGCTTTGTGGTGGCCTTGGACCACAAACTTCTTACCTCTGCCTTCTGAATAGTTGGGATTACAGTTATGAACCACCATGCCCTGCTTATTTATTGTGAATGGGACCTTGCTAATTTATTGCCTAAACTGGCATCACACCATGATCCTCCTAAAACAGTCTCCTGAATTAGAGATATGTGCTGTCATGCTTTGGCCAATGAAATTTGTATGTAGCTTTATTTATTTATTTATTTTGAAGGTACTGGGGTTTAAATTCAGGGTCTCGTGCTTACTAGGCAACCCTCTACTACTTTAACCATGTCTCCAACTTTTAATTAAAAAAAAAATATTGGGGAATGGTGGTCCCAGTACTGAGGCTTGAACTCAGGGCCTTGTACTCTTGCTTAGATTTTTTGCTCAAGGCTTGTGCTCTACCACTTAAGTGACATTACTACTTCTAGCCTTTTGATGGTTAATTGGATTTAAGATTCTCATGTTGCCTGCCTGGGCTGATTTTGAACAGCAATCCTCATGTCTCAGCCTCTTGAGTATCTAGCATTCCAGGCTCCTGTTCTGCTCCTCTGTAGTGGGAACCACTCATATTTAGTGCCACCCATGCTCATATGATCAGATTCTACTTGGGATGAAGGACCCTCCATTTTTCTAACCTTGGGTTTGCCATTAGGATAGAGTGAACACATTACTCTCCAAAGAAAAGAAACTAGGAAGCAGGGGGTGGTATCAGCACCCGATTTTTTCTTTTTTTTAGATAGTCCCTAACTATGTAACCTAGGCTGGCTGGCCTCAAACTCATGATCTTTCTGCCTCTTTCTTCCAAA